TTCCTGAAAAAAAATTCCATCATTTTTGCCTTGCCAACCTGCCTCGGCCAGTGTACTGTAGTCACTTGCACTCCGTGTTGGTGCCGTTCTCGGTGGGTGCAGAGAGACATTTTTTCTATTTTTTTTTTTTTCTGAATGCTTTCTCTTGTCAAGCAAACCCGCTTATTTCTCTGTCCGTTATGTAGTTTGCCAGGGTAGCTTTAAAATAAGATGCCATCCTCTGACATGCACGTAGCCCCTCTCCACACTGTGATACATGTAAATTAAAGAAATGTCCAGTTCATTTTGTCATTTAAATTGCTAATCACAATACTGGCTAGTTCTTTTACAGTCATCTTTAGAAAAAGAAATAAAAACTTGGCATTAAAAGTAGTGATTTTTTTTTTTTTTTTTACAAAAAAAAACAGTTGAAAAAAACACCTTTTGCTGCTTTCATTAGCTTGGTTTTTGCTGCTTTCATGTGGGACAGAGTTGAAATCTGCAGTGGAGGCAAAACATGCAGTCACTGTCTCTCACCTGTTCACTCAATCTGTTCCCAGTCATGGATATCTCAATTCATACTAGTTGCTTAGTCTCTTAATTTCTTTTTTACTTAATGTCTTTCTATTTCTGGGAGCTTCACAAATAATCTGTTTCATATGATGCTCTTCTTCCTTCTCCATACTGGGAAAACTTTTTTTTTTTAATAGGAAGAGCATAGCATTACAGTAAGCACAGGCAAGATGACACAGGAAATGTATTCTGACATAATTGGTTTATAGCATAAGTCTGAGCTCTCCATTTTTTACTGATGGCATGTGGCAATTACACTCTCTTACAGGGCGCTATTTTCCCAAAAGACCCAAGCACATGGTCATAGTTGAAGCAAAGTTTGATGGTGAACAGTTGGCTACTGATCCTGTAGAGCATACTGATCAGCCAGAATTTGCTACAGAATTGGCTTGGGAGCTTGATAGGAAAGCACTTCACCAGCACAGGTAACGTTATAAAGTTAAATGTAATTTGGAGATAGAGATTAATTTTCTTGTCTTTACAGCTGCTGAAATACAATTTTTGCATTACTGTCATCTGACTTTTTTTTAAGGAACATTTAGCTGTACACTGATCTACCGTAATGTTGCCATAACAAACGAAAGTAGTATGTGGCAAGATAACATGTTTAAAAATTCTAAATGGTACGTTTTTTACACAACTGAAAAAAGCCTCAACACCTTACAATAAATTAGTAATGCTGTGGTTCAAACACCGGTTTTAAGCTTTGTGCATACTGTGACACACAATTAGTTCAAGCATGATAAGCCTTCATAAATTTTTTTAAAATATGCCCAGTTGCAGAGCTGAGAGACTGAATAAGATTTCCCTAAGTGTAATTTGGTTTTAACTGACAGATTACAATGTTATCTCCATATTTTCTAAGTAGTTAAAAAGGCCATGTTGTCTTTGAATAAAATAATTTGAGAAAAATGCCTAAATATACCTTATGCTTGACACCTTATTTATACCTTTAAGTATTGTTAGGTGCTTTGCACAAAAGTCTTTTTCGTAAGTCCTGTTTTTAAGATACTGTTACAGGTGAAATGCCAACTTTGTGTGAGGTGCAGTGCTTATTTCTTGTACGTTGATGAGATTGAATATTTGTCACTAACGTCTCTTTAAAAGCACTTGAGACACTGAGTCTTCGATACACTCCTTTTACAAAACTAAACCACTTGTTTGTTCTGTTACTTGGCGATGAATTTTTTAGACATTGAATTTTAACTCAGTTTGTGACCTACTAATGCTAGTTATGTAACAAATTTTGTAGGATTTGTATGCTTGAAACTTAGGAATTCTTTTTGTTAAACTAGTTGCAGAGAGAGCTTGGATTTCAACTGAGTTATTCTTTCAGGCTGCAGCGTACACCTATCAAACTCCAATGTTTTGCATTGGATCCTGTATCTTCAGCTAAAGAGAATATAGGCTATGTTGTACTTGATTTAAGAGCAGCACAGGAGAAGAAACAGGTACGTTATGGGGTTTAAACACTAGAGCAAGTCTACTCTGTAAGAACGTTATTTTATTTTACTACTTTTGTAAAATGTTTTTGGGCTTTATTTTTGTTTTTAATCACGTAGGCGCCAAAATGGTATCCTCTGCTTAGTAACAAGTACACTAAATTTAAATCTGAGATACAAGTAGGTGTTGTGTTGGAGACTGATTCAAAACCACTGGTTGATGGTTTCAAAGCAAAGGAGGCACCCCCTAGAGAAGGGAAGGGTAAGTAACATAATATGACTCACTTTTCAACTAAAAATGCTGTTGTGCCAGATAAACATATCACTTGTAAATGTGTCGGTTTAAGTCTCAAGAGAATTGTAATTTCATAGTATTTCTGATGCACATCCTTTACAGCTAATTAATGTACCTTGGGATAATAGCTTTTCAGGAATGCTTTACTGTGGTAGTTTTGTGACTTTCAGGTGGGCAGAGTTGCAAACCAACTGATCTTTAAAGTCGGAATCAAGGAAATCAGGGACTTAGTTTACTGCTGTGAACATCGTACTCATATTTCAGGGCTTTAGAAAGTTCTGGCATGAAAGAAATAAGAGAGGAATTGTTTTACAGAATGCAACTTCAGTAGTTTGGCCTTGGAATTACTACGTGGTGAAATATCTCATTTGTTGGGTAGGATGCATCTCTTTTCTAATGGAAATTTCATGTAATCAGAATCGTTCAGTACTTAAATTATGTCATATTGATATATTCTTGTAATAACGTCTACTTTAAGTTAACTACTGGAACTCATTCCACTTCTGCATTCCCATGTACTTTCCTCTCAGAAGTAATCGGTGAAATGTGTCAAAAGCATTCTACAACTTCAATGTTAATGCTAGTAGCTGTCTTTTTATACTGTGCATTGGCAGTCATCATTTTTTACCTGGGATTCAGTAATGCAAATTAGTAGCTTAAGAGAAACCAACCGTTAAAAAACTTGTTTTGGAAAAAAGAAAGACCCCTTCAAACAAACAGATTTACCTCCCTTCTCATCGCCCACCCAAAAGCTTATCTACTTCATTTCTATAAACTGAGCCTGTGTTGCAACTAGTGGCTTTCCTCCTACTTAATCTTACAATAATACCTCATGCCCTTGCTCTGAGGGTGACTTTTTCCTAGCTCTAAATTCATCATCTGCTTATGACCTGTGGCTGTGGCTTTCTGAAAACAAAGTGGTCAGTGGCAATGTTTTACAACATTTTTGGCTCGGACTTCAGTGACTTGGCTGCATTACATTAAGGGAGTATTGAAGTTCCAGTGTAACCCCTTTACTTACTCCATCCTTTCAGGCTCACAACAAAGCATAGGAAATTTTGCATACTGTGAAATTTGTAAAGGAGGCAAGGAAGTACTGCAGAGGATTTGTTAATATGCACTTGCCTTGTAGTCTTCCTGCCCACAAGCTCTTCTACGTTTCATGATGCTTGCGGAGGACACAAAATATCCCTTCTGCTTATTCCCGTCACTGTCTTCCAGTTCATGCCTTCTGGGGAATAATCGCTGCAAATAAGTTTGCCAGCTTTTCCCTTCTGTCAATCTGGGATTAGTGAATACCATACTTGGGTAGTGGAGGAACACAAACGCAGATTTTCACAGGCTTAATGTTCCAAGCATTGAGAATGGCAAAGCTAGACTACACGGTTCTAGTTTAGTCAGATAGAGAGGATGCTTTCCTTTTAGGATTCATACACTTCTGTTTCATTTTCTTTTTTTTTTTTCATTTTACTGACCTAAGTGGTCTAAAGTTTCCAGTATTTTAAATGGAGCAGCTCGGTTCACAGCAAAAAGTGCTAAGTATTACTATTCTGTGTAACCTGAGATGCTTTGCAATCTGTTGGATACTGGCACTGCAGAACAGGAACCAGTAAACCAGAATACTGACAGTGTGTTATGCACTGAAAACTTCACATGAAAAAAATCTTTAAATGGAACGTTTCAAAGGTCTAGTGGGATGAGACATCATTCTTCTTTCAGTAACTGAACAGGTTGTCATAAGCAGTTACTGTCTCTGTCTTGCATCTCCTTTAATGAGTGAAATAAAGAAACATCATGATAGACAGCAACAGAAAGAAATAAGGTTCCGGTCACTATGTTACTCACTGTAACATTAAATAAAAATATGCACTAGCATTCTGTCTAGTGTAGTGTTCAAAGTAACATCTGTGCCCACTGAATAGAAATTTCAGAACATTTTGTAGCTCTGCGTATCTGTATTGGGGGACTTCTTTGTGTTGAAGTACTTTGGAACCAAGCATAAAATCTTTATGTGTAATTTTTCTTTTCCTAGTTGTAATAAAGATAAAATTACAATTATGTGTAAGATTCCTGCAGCAATTAGTAAGGTCACATTAATCTTTTTCTTCCCTCTTAGCTTCTGCCCTTCTTTCTAGACTAGACCCTAAAACTCTTGTGCCAGTCTTGAATGAAGATGAGGGCTATCATCAAATTGGACCAGCAGAGTACTGTAGAGACTACTTTGTCTTGTCTGTAACCATTGCATTTGCCACACAGTTGGAACAGGTTTGTTTCCTTGTTATGAGTAGTTTTTAAGAACTGCTATCTTCTATTTGTGGTTTTCCCCTCACCTGCATTTTCTGGTTGGGATTTTTTATTATCTTGTTAAGTTTCTTGTAATAAATAGCCTTGTACCATATTGGATTAATATGCATTAATTTGAAGTGTGAAACTTGGTGTAGCGCTTACATGTCAAATTACAGATGAAAGATCAGAGTTCTGGAGCACTGAAATTGCATTGACTTTAAATAATGCACTTCTGTCAAATGGATTCACTTGTATTACCCATACACATAATTTTTATATTATAATATCAGTCTTCAATGTCGTGTCTATGTGCTGAAGTTCAAATGAAATGCCTTTTAGATCTGTAAGATGTATGGAACAGAAGAGTTTGTATGTTGCTTAAGGGAAGGACTTACTAGCTCTAAGTGCCATGCTCGTACAGTTATTTCAGCTTTAGACCTCAGCTGCTGTGTTTATGCTGTACTGTACCACACTGATACACATTACCAAAAATATAGGTGTGCCCAAGTTACCATGAAAGTCACGACACTGATTTTTAATTGCTCTATAACTCATAATGTATGATAAACTCTCCTCAGTCTTGTAATCTTTTTTTGGAGAAAATAATTTTCCCTGTCAGAATTACAGGGCCTTGTGAAGGAAACTTACTGTGATCACTCCGGAGTAGCTTGTGCCTTTTTAAGCATTGAACTCACGGTTGAAGTGACTACAGGATGAAGTAGATGTTTCTGGTTGTTCCAGTCTTTTATTCAGTCACATAAGTTATGTAATAACTCGGTCTCTAATCTGCATTGTCTCTTCACACTACAAATATTTTGTGGTGATACTGCTTATTTCTGAATATTTGTGCAGCGTTTGACATTATTGAATATATGACATCAGTTCCAGCCTTTGGTGCTGATAAATCTTACAAGATAATTCAAAATAGGTCATTTTGCAAGCTATTGGTGCACTTGTAAATTAAGATTATTTTTTTAAAAAAATCCAGTTTGAATACTAATATAAGGTGGCTTTTTATTTTATGTGTAGTGTGAGATAGGATTTAGGTCAGCTGCTCAGTAGTCTGAGATTACTTTAAGCTCATTAATTTCCAAGGTAATGCTTAAGTTTTACTGTAACTGTACATTAATAATAGAGGTAACATTCTTTTCTCCTGCATCTTTTTTTAGTTAGTTCCTAGTACTATGAAGCTTCCTGAACGACACCCTGAGTTTTTCTTTTATTACTCATTACTGGGAAATGATGTCACAAATGAACCTTTCACTGATTTAATTAATCCAGACTTTGAGCCAGAAAGAGCTTCAGTTCGAATACGTAGTTCAGCTGATGTTCTTCACGTTTACCTTTGTGCACAGTCAAAATTGCAGGTAAGCTGTTTCACCTCGGATATGAATGAAAATAAATAACGACAATAAATAAAATATGGCTCAGACTGAAACTGGAAAACATTCTTCTTTCCAAAGCTAGATTGTAATACAGTATTTTGCTTCAAATATAAGTTGATTCTCTTGCTAACCTAAGGGAAACCGTAGCAGTAAGTGCCCAGCTCAGATGGAGTGCAGTTTCTAGTACAGTTGCTATAGTGACCTAGGTTACACATCATGGTAAGAGGTATTGCTGAAACATGATATTCCCAGGGAGATAGCGTGGCATTAGCAAGGGCTGTGAGACCTGCTCTTCTATCAGACCATCTGCAACCCACAGTCCTGGTTTGTGTTGTGTGTGATAACCTCACAGCAGCTGCTCAGGTCACTCTTGCCTAAGTTCTAGAATCACTGTCCTCAGCA